TTGAAATACAAAGGTTGGAACATTGTAATCTAAAGCCAAGATCTTGCTTTTGTTTCTTTTTCATAACCACCTTAACATAAGATATCGTGACATATGTCTTACGTTCAACAGCAGAGCCACATTAATTTAATGCTAAAGCTAAAGCGTAACAGAAATATTTGTCATGCTCTTGCAGTTTTGAGCTGTTTTCATCTGTACTCTAGTGTTTTCTATGAATTCTGCTTCTAGTAACTCTGACTCTGATTTTGTGAAGTGTTGTTATTGGGCTCTGGTTCAGTTGTTGTTAGTGTTCGTTCCTCCAGCTGAGTCGTCTGTTTCTATGATCCTGTTTATTCTGAGTACTGTTGTTTGTGTGTTTATTTCTTGTTTTACTTTGACAGACACTTTTCTCATGTGTCTTGTTTCGACTTCTTACTTCTTACTGGGTATTCCCCAGTATGTAGTCCTGTTATTATCATTTGAATCTGCATATGCCCACATGGAAAAGATATCTATAAATCTTATACAGTTTGTATCTGTCTTGTGTGAAACTTGTATGAAAAGCATACAAGAGTGAAAACAGATATAAGATCCCTTGAAGAATTATATAATGAAACTTGTATGTTTTGGATACTTACTAAAACAATATATGAAAGTAATGAGAAAGTGGTCACTTTCATGAGTAAATCATAGAAGTTTTTACTATTTCTTTTCCATATGGGTGTGCCCAATGCTTGTATTGGTGTCCTGGATATTTGATCTGTTTTCTGATCATTAATTCGAGAAAGTTTCAAAAGTCGAGTTTAAAAAAATGCATTTTGGGTAAACCTTTAAAGGTCATATCACCTTGCAGGATAGGTGGCTGGATAAAACAAGTTATAGCACAGGAAAGGTCTCCCTTTACATGTATTTTGATACCAGAATCAGTTCAACATGTTGTAATTTAACCACATGCTAACACCTGTGAACGCAGCTTATGGCTGTTGAAGGAAGAAACAACACTGGTGTTCACATGTCCTGTATAATAGTTGGGAAGTACCACTTTACTCAAACTACTTTAGGACTTTAGGAGAGTCTGGATCACTGAGGCTCTTTTTGCAATTTGCTGCTGTGTTAATTTTCTTCTGATGCAAAGCAGAATTTCCCTTTGACTTACTTACAAAGTCAAAGCTGATTCTCGAATGACCCAGAGAATACAGACTAATGTATGCATGTATGTTCATGTGTTTGTTTAGCTGGAGCCATCTCCATATACTCTCCTCAGAGGAGCCTGATCCGCTCAGTGCAGGACGATGTGATCTTCTCAGTGAATTTCACCTGCAGCGGGATCCCAAACATACAATGGACTTTTATGTCAGGATTGGTGAGCCGGACGATAGGGGCCTGGCAGCCGGGGGGGTACACCAACATAACGGAGGACTACAGCAGCCGAGTGCAGGCCTATGACAACGGTTCGATGGGCCTGTCAGACCTGCGGCTGCAGGATGGTGGATTTTACGTGGTCACCATCACAGAATCAACCGGGAGCAGCAAGGATTTTGGTTTCGTCCTAAAAGTAAACGGTGAGAGTCTTTACATTAAAAAACAAAACAGAAAACTAACACACAACGAGGGAAAAAGAGCATGAAAGAAAGAAACAGTCCTGTCAGAACAGTTTTTAAAGCTTAAGGTAATTAACAGCACTTCTGTCGTACCTGTACAAAGAATTTCTTCACACGATTTAAAAAAGCAGCACTAATCGTGATTAGAGCATCAACAAAAGCCCTCGGCTTCAGTTTGACGCAGTCTCACTGTGGTAACAGTTGTTTGGATTTAAAGACGACAAACGCCCTGCCCAAACATGGCGTCTGTGGTTATTAGAGGCAGGCTCAGAACTGTTTTCCACACCAGACAGAGTAACTCTAAAGCAAATAAACTATAAAAATGAAGAATGAAGAATGGCACATGTGCTGTGATCATTTTAGGGAGGAATGAATGCAGGAAGGAAGAACATATGGATTGACCAAAGAGGGGAAGTCTTTATTTTAACAAGTGAACACGATGAAAAATGATCTTTAATAAACATATCAGCCCTATTTGCAGTTGAGTTTGCAGTAAATAAGATGTGGCTCCTGTGTTTCTGTCCTACAGAGGTTCTGTATGAGGACCTTCAGTACCTCACTGTCTCTTTTTTGGCCCTGGCCTGCTTGGCCGGCCTTCTTATGCTCGCCATGTGGCTCCTGGACAAGGCCTACAAGAAGATAATGGCATGCAAGCGCAGGAGAGAGATGCCAGGTAAAGCCACGTGTAAACAGCAGAATCCATCTCAGTGAATATCCTCTAATGGTGTCAATGATTGTGCATTCAGGTGATGCCAGAAAAACAGGTTTGCAACTTGGAAATGTCCTGTGAATACCATTTCAGAAGATTTTGGATTGCTGGCTCAAACATATTCTTCCCTGATTTCTTGTATGGATACGTGCTGAAAACGTTCATAACCAAAATAGGTCACTCATGGAGCACAACTATGTAACCAAAACAAATAAATACAAAAAATAAAAAGATTTGTGTCTGTTTCTCCTACAAATATCCATAGTTTTACAGAATTTCTTACATTTTTGTGGCAATGATAATGGAAACACTACAGGACACATTTATACACATTCATACATCTTTATTGTCTGCACTAAACAGGCATAGTCTGAACTACATGCAGTTTAACAGGTAGTCCATGGCACACCTGCTGCTTTCAGGGATTTCAGGGCATATTTTCAGGCCAGTTTCCCCAAAACTCTCCCTGGTGCTGAGGATGAACAGTTGGTGCAGGTTTAGTCATAAAGTTCTGTCATGCAGAAGTTTGGGGCAGAAATTTTGAACACAGAAAGAGTGCCATCAGATTCTGATCCATCATGCTACACCAGGGGATGGAAACTCCAGGCCTCGAGTGCCGGTGTCCTGGAGGTTTTAGATGTGTCCATGATCCATCACAGCTGATTTAATGGGCTAAATGACTCCTCGGCATTTCTTGAAGTTCTCCAGAGGTCTGGTAATGAACTAATCATGTGATTCAGGTGTGTTAACCAAGGGTTCAATCTAAAACCTGCAGGACACTGGCACTCGAGGCCTGGAGTTGCCTACCCTGGTGCTATACCATCTGGAAACTTACAGCAGCTTAATTTTTCAGCATGACAATGATCCCAAACACACTGCTAGCACAGTAAATGCACACCTGGATAGACAAACACACAGTGGAACAAGATCAGGCATGGACTGGCCTCCTCACAGTCCTGACGCAATATTATTGAAGCAGTGTGGGATCATCTTCAGAGAGAACAGAACACAAAGCAGCCAAATCCAAAGAACAGCCCGGAGAACTATCCCTGCAGACTACTACTGAATAAGTTACAAACTGGTTTCCTATAGGAGGCAAATAAAACCTGATACAGTGTCTGAAATCTGGCTGCTTTTTTAGGTAATGGGTGAAATAATAAAGAAGACAATTGTTTGTGAGCGTGTTGTTTTATCTAAAGTTAAAATGTGTTCTTCTTACCACCGCATGATTGTGTGGAGAATGAATATAGGTTGAAGGGTGTGATGGTTGACTATGGTTTGACTCTATCATTGTATCACAGTAAGGGCGTGTTTGAGTACAAAGGTCTGTGAAGACCTATTATAGCTTTGTTTGTTGTCTTAATCATGTATTGACTCTTTAATCCTTTTATTTTTGTTGCAGAAAACGATGCGACTGAGCTGCAGATAATGAACATCTGAGTGATGACTCACCTGAAATGGCCAATCAAAGCTGTCAGTGACACAACATGAGGACATACTTTTGAAGGTGGAACGTTTTGTACATCAAACCTCTTTATATACTCTAGTTACTTACAGCTCAAAGCATGACCAGTCAGTTATGAACACCTGCACTGTGTTGATATTTTGTACTGATATTGATCTTTACAGATGACTGTCACTGAATGAGTGAATGTGAATATACCACCGATGATACAGGAACACAATAAATCTTGTATTTATTCTCTGAAACTGTGACTTTATTTTACTCATGACTGAGGGTTAAACTGGGCTGGTTTCATTAATAAGCAATTAAATCAGATTATTTCATGATAACAAAAAGTTTCGCTTTTGTGCGCTGCAGG